GTATCAGAGTGTTCCATCTCATTTCCCTTTGGGGTTGCTGTAGGTGATCTGGAAGTCTGGTTTTGAGACTTATTTATGTGTTTTCTCATTTTGACTGGGGGGGGCGTGCAGAGGGAGTGCTGTTGGTGCTGCACAGCTCACCTCCTCTGAGCTGGGAGAGGTGGGACAGGAGCCAGGAGTGGCGGGAGGGATGGTGGCCCAGAAGCCCCTTCCTCTGGGCCGGGAATCAATCCTAAATATTTTAAAAATAACATTTCCTCTTATATGGAAAGCCCCAAATATAAAGAAGTTAGAGAGCAAAATAAAAAGTATATCACAGGAAACCAGGAGGAGGATCTTTTGGAAAAGAGAAAGGGGTCAAGAGATGGAGGGAAAGAAGGGGAATGGCACGGAAAGGGATGAAGATGTGTCGTGTATGTGCACCAACCCCCCATGAGGAATGTAAGCACCATGTACCACAACACGCATCAATAAAACACACTGTTTTCAATGTGCAAAATGCTGTCATGCCTACAAAGGAAATTCTCTCATTTTAAAAATATGTGACTGAAATCTTGATGCCCAGAAGTTATTCTAATGATTCTTCATGAAACAAATATTTGACATATTCTGTGTGATTAAAATTTTTCTCATTGAGTTATCTTTTCTGTAACAGAATATCAATTGCATTATAATATGGAGTTGTCACATCTCTGGAAAGTTTTCATTGTTCACCCTAAAGCTCAAGCCTGCGTTAGGTGTGCTGTTTCAGCTGACAGTAACAAGCCTCTTGAGTCATTGATAGCAGTTGCAGTGTATTAGAAATGTGTTCTTTCACAGTTCTTGCGGGGACAAGTTCAAGATCAAGGTATGAACACCACTGGCTCCTTCTGAGGGCCATGAGAATCTGCTCCAAGCTGCTCCTTAGCCTCTGATGGTTTGCCTTCAATCTTGGGGTTCCTGGGCTTGAGAAGCATCACCCCAACTCCTGGTTTCACCTTCTCAAATTTCCCCTTTGAGGACACTAGATGTATTTGATTAGAGTTTATCTGGATGACCTCATTTTAACTTGATGACCTCCGTAAATATCTTATCCCCAAATAAGGCCACATTCTGAAGTACTGGGGGTGGGGTTAGCGTTTTGATGTATGGACTTTGGGAGCATCCATTCCTAACTGTGGAAGAGTGAAGTACACAGTTGTGATGTCAACCCATGGTCGAGTCGTCTAAGGGAGTCACAGCCATGCAAGCCTTGGTAGCTATGCACAGGGCTAGGGATCTATCTTTTCTGCTTTGATGAGCACAGCACTGCTGCTATTACTAGTTATCCTGTGAGATTTCCTGAAGGAGGAAAAACTCTCAGAACAGTGTGCTCCACGTGAAGCACCAACAGTGCCCTTAGCCTTGTGCCAGCCGTGCCCAGTGACGAGCATGACTCACAGGAAAGGCAAGGACCAACCCTTTCCTGGCCCTCACTGGATGTCTACATTTTCCCTTTCCCCCAAATTACAGGAATCCATTGGAAGGAATTTTTATGTGTTAGAAGATTATTTTTGTGAATTTGATCTTAAGAAATGTCTTTATTCAGAAAAGAGGTTTCTGTTCACTGGTATGGCATGAGTCTTGTTCATTTCTATATTTTTGTTACTTACACTTTGGAAATAAAAAACAAAGAAGAAAGGGCTGGGCGTGGTGGCACATGCCTGTAACCCCAGCTCTGGGGAAGCTGAGGCAAGAACACTGCAGGTTTGAGCCCAGCCTGGGCAACCTAGCAATAAGTGAGACCGTGTCTCAAAATAAAGCATAAGAAACAAAGAAGATAAAATAACAACATCATCTAGTGACTGCATCTTTTAGAATTAGAAATCAAAGTGTACTATATAAACACCTGTAGTGGCTCTCAAACTTCGTTATTGAAACCTACACCACAAGGCGGCGCCAGATTAACGTAAAATGGGCTGCCCCACAAAACAAGGAACCTGGAAGTTAACTTTAGTGTGTAATTTAACCCAACATAAACTTTAGGTGTTGTTTTTTTCAGAGCTGAGAAATTGCCAGTATTTAACAATTAAAGAATCTTTTTCATAGTCTGCATAAAACCTAACCTCCTTTCACATCTGAGAACAAAACAGTTTCTCTGAATCCCTCAACACACACACATACACACATCCGTCAATTGCTCCAAAACTACACTGAGGTCCCATATTTGCAGGCCTTTTATTACCATGTCATATATTTTATTAATTAGAAGGACTTGCCAAAGTAGATGAAATAAAGTTTGTTGACCATGCAGTATGCCTGTCCAAAGGTCATGCATTACACGCTTGCTGAATTTAAATCTGCAATTGTGTTGTGGCTAACACACAGAACATTCTGTCGCGCTGGCCCCTGCTAACACTACACTCCCACATCCCACAGGCCTGACCACAAAGGCACTGTCACGCTTGCAAGACAAACATGTGACCAGCTCCTGATCCCTGTTGGTGAGATGGACTCCCCCAGCTCTGCCCTTCTCTGTGACTATCAAGACCTCTTATGTGAGCTGTGGAGTGGCAGAACCCAAGTTATATCTGGAATTCTTCCTTTAAGGGAGCGTGGGAAACCCAACTGTTTTACAGAACAAGAAGGCACTGTGAGGTAGATTTTAAATGGACCAATCCAGAGAATCTCGGTGTTTTTTGTTTTCTATTTGGTTTAGTTTTCTATAATTATTAAAGCTTCTGTATACATTATTACTCAAAAGTCAATGTTATTTCTAACAATACTGGTGAGGAGGTTGGAATATGCAGAGATTCAATAATATGTCGCCATGTTTAGGGTCTGTTTGAAATTATGTATCTTGAACATTTTTGAAACTATACTTGTTTTCAAACTATTTAATTGCCTATTTTGAAACTACACACCCTGAATATTTTGGCAAATAATCAAATTTAGTGATATCTTGTTGAGTATTTCTTTACACAGGAGTCAAATTGTACCTTAAATAGATTAAATGCAGAATTTGAAACACTGAGGAAGACATTGGCTTCTTGGGTTATTGCTTTCAATTTTCCTTTTTCCCAGGAGTATTTGACCCCTCACAAAAAGCTGGAAAACTGTGTCCTCTAGTACCTTGGACTCTAAAATTCAACTGGAACTTCTCTTATCCTAGAATAATTCAAAATATAACAGAAGCAGGAACATCAAATGGATGATTACTGTTGAACCCAGTGAGAGAGAACCAACCAGAGACCGATATTAAATCCACACAGGAGTTTATTACTGGCCAGGACCAGAGCTGAGCATCAGACTCCAGCCTCAACTGGGGGTTGACAAACATGTTTTATACACCTTTGAGGCCAACAGTTTCTAGGCCCCCCTATGGGATAGAACTAGTAAAGCAAGCAAAAGGTACAGAAGCAGAACGTCCTGCTGTTAGAACATTTGTGAAACAATAGTTGATTAATTGTCATTTCTAAAGAGACTTTCTAAGGGGAGGAGGTTTTTAAGCTTCCTCCTTCTGAGTTCATCTAGAGGGCAGGCAGGTGGGTCAAGCAGCAATATGGAGTCTGTCTTGATAACTAGGGTCTTTCAGTTACCACCTTCTCACTGGGCCCATTATTTAACAGTTCCCCAGGTCCTACTTAACGTGGCCCATTATGTCAGCCTATGACCTTTCACAAAGCTCATGGAAGATGCTCCAAAATGAGAAAGAACTGTGGGTACAAGCAAGAGAGAAACTGGAGTAGACGTGGGTTTCTTTTATATGTTAAACAATTTCCCATATCTTTGCTTTGCAGATCTGACTGCTGCTCTATAATTTCCATTATATCACAGATTGGAGGTAATATTGGGTTTGCAGAACACAGTGAAGTTAAAATTTATTGTAATAGCTCAAATCTCTACTCCTGAAACCCGTTGCTAACCCATCATTCTTCCTTTGAAAACAAACAAATGTTCTGGGGCCTTTATGATGCCTCTGACCTTTGTGCTAGGCTCTTCACATACACTGTTTATTTAGCTCTTACTTGAAAGGGGTAAGGAGTCTAAATTAGTTAAGAAAAACAAACAAACAAAACAAAACAAAACAGACCCACCACCACCAGGCATAGAATTATGAACCCAATCTTTTCAATCACTCAGGATGTTCCACTGAGCAGAAAGATTTGATTTAAAAGCCATTCTCACCCTTCTCCAGGTTTAGTGCAATGAACAATTCATTTACCTCTGTCAGTCAGTTTCCTACCAAGGAGCACAGTATGAAACAAATGACTTGAGCACAGTGACTTCACAATTTAGAAAGGTGGGGATGGGTGTTAAGGATCCAATGCGGGGCAGAGCATTGCTCAAAGGCCAGTAGCTGTGGGTGGGAGAGGGGAGCTGCCGCCCACTGGAAGCGGCAGATGGGAAGATGCACTTAGCAGAGCCTGGATCTGGCAGCTACAGAGAGATGGGCAGTGCTGGGCACTAGGTCTTCCCTAGAAAGAGCATGAATTAGCAGTGGGCTGGTGAGGCACTGACTGGGGGAACACATGCCCTAATTTTACTTTCCTCTGTCCTTTGACAGCCTGTTGCTATGTCTCACTGGCTGAATTTAGAGACAGAATCAAGAGATAAAGAAAATGTATCACTCAGCCACAAGGAAGATAACTAGGGTTATCTTCATTTGTAGGAAAATCGATGGATCTTGAGACCACCATTCTAAGTGAAATAAATCAGACACAGAGGGTTAAATATTGCATAGTTTCTCTAATAAGGGACATCCAAAATATAAATGACATAAAGAGCAAAATAAAAGAGAGGTGGTGGGAAACAGGAAGGTAGACTCTGTGGAGATGGGAGGGGGACCCAGGAAAAAGGGAGAAGAGAAGACAGTGTGGGTCAAGAGGAGTAAAAAACGATCAGGATGTGACATGTCTATGTACCAATTCCACAGGATGAATGTCATTATTTTGTACTGCAAATGCATATGAATAAGAAAAGAATCATCAAGGAAGTCTGCTGGGCACTGAGGCAGTCACAGGCCGCAGAGCCAGAGTAGAGAGCATACCTGGAGAGGAGGAAGGGAGCTGACAGCCATGGCTTCTAATCTGTGATTGCCTGGCAATTCTTAGATGCCCTCTACTTCAATCCTCACAAAATCTTACAAAGTAAAGATTGTTTTCTGCAATTTACATCTGAGAAAACTGATGGTCCAATCTATTAGAGATATACCATGTTTGTTACCATATGTAAACATAATAATACATCACAGAAAAACATCCAAAAACATACCACTAAACATGCACTAGAAAAATTTAATTTCCAATGATAATAAAATGTTTTAGCAATCTTTCCATACAAGAGAACTTCTTTAAATTGGTAATGAAAAAATATTTAAATCTGTAGCAAATATCCTATTTGATGGTGGGAATGTAGAAATAACTTTAAAATAAAGTTGTCCTCTCTGTTGCTTATGTTTAATCATGTAATGGAAGCCTGAGCTATTAAAAGTCTTAATTTACAGAGGACAAAAGTATAGAAAATACATAAGGATTGCTGTATCTTCTAATATTTCTGTATTGGAAACTTAATCCCCAGTGTAGCAGTATTTGGAGGTGGGACCTACGGAGGGTGTTAGGATGTAAATGAACTAATGCCATCATAAAAAGGGCTCATGGGAGTGGCCATTCTGCTTTCATTCTCTGGCCATATGGGGACCCAGCATTAATCCTCTCCTGGCTTCTTCTCTTCCCCAGGTGAGGCTGCAGTAAGAGGACTCAGCATATGCCACTGACTTGGCCTTGGCCTTTCAAGCCTCCCAAACAGTAAGAAATAAATTTCTGTTCTTTATAAATTACACATTTTGCACTATTTTGTTATAGTAGCACAGAATGGACTATGACAAGAAATTAACAAAAATTCCATAGAAAACACAAGAAAATCTATAATCAACTTGTAAGGTCTAAGCAGTGTTCAAGAAGATTGTTAGATAAAAGAATACTATACAAAACTTCACTGTGTTTTCATATGCTAGCAACAGAGAGAATATGTGCTTTTAAAAAATAAGAAATCTAGAAATTATAGTGATACAAGCATACCCATGTCTATAGCAGCACAATTCATAATATCTAAATCTTGGAAGCAGCCTATATGTCCATCAACAGATGAATGGATAAAGAAAATTTGATATTTACTTACAATGGGGCATGAAGAAAGATAAACTTGCATTGTTTGTAGGAAAATGGGTGCACCTTGAGACCATAATGTTCAGTGAAATAAAGCAGAGAAACAAGTTTAAATATGGTATGGTTTCTTTCACATGAGAAACTCAGATTATAAAAAGCAAAAATAAAAGATAGATAATAAGATAAAGGGAGATAGATCTTTCTAAAGTGGGAAGGAGACCAAGTGATGGAGGGAGGGGGAGGGAGGAAAAGGGAGGGGGATGAAGAAAGGAATTAAGATGTGTTGTGTACATGTACCAACTCCACACAAGGAATGTAAACATTATATACTACAAACATGTGCTGATAAAAAAGAGATCTAGAATAAACCTAATAAAATATGTGTGATTTGTGGGTAAACAATTATAAAGTTTCCTGAAAGATGTTAAAGAAGACTTGAAGGAAAAGATGTTCATGGTCATATTTGGGTTCAGAAAATATAAAATCTCTTTCAGATTAATCTCTAAATTCAACATAATTCTAATAAGAATGCCAAGAGTTTGGTAGAACTTGAAAGTCCAACATAAAACAACATTAGAGAAACAAAGAATTCAGAATACCAAAATAATACCAGATAAGATCAATATATACCTGATCAGATACCAAGACTTAATATAAAACTGTAATAATTGAGACAATGTAATAAATAAATGGAAGAAAAGTGATAGCTGAGATACAGCATCATACAAATTTGGCTACTGAGTATATGACAGAGAGTGGTACTAATCAGTGGGGTAAAAGGGGTAGGACAATTAGTTGTCCATACAAAAAATATGAAATTCAGTCCTCATCTTAGACCATCCACATATATCATCTGTAGGTGCCTTAATCACCTAATTTTGAAATAAAATTAAACATTTCAGAAGAATAAATCTTTGTGGCTTTGAGGTAACATGAGTTTTCTTAAATGAGATACAAAATGCATTTTCCTTTAGAAAAAGATGATAAATTTGCATAAAAATTAGTGGCATTTGCCTGGTAAAAGATAATATAAACAGAGGGAAAAGATGGGCTATAAACTGGGAAAAGATATTTGCAACTTGTACAACTGACTTATCAGTAAGATAAAGGACAAAGAATCAAATGACAAAAGATACAAAGAGGAAATTAAAAAGAAACTAGTATGTGTAACTAACAAAACATTACTAGTCAGAATATGCAAAGAACTTTTATAATCATTAATTTCTCTGGTTTCATCAAACACAACACAAAAAAGAATAGACTATGAAGGAAAAGATTGATATATTTAATTATGTTTGAATTAACTTTTGCTTAACAGTAAACATCATAAATAAAGTGAACTGAGAGCCTACAGCCTTCAAGGTAAATAATAATATATGATTGACAGGGTATTAAGATTGGAGAAGACACGAAACAAGGAGATCTCTCACCCACTGATTAAGATTTCTAATTGGTATCACTTTGAAGATCAGTTTGGCAGTATGTAGTAAAATTGAAGATGCTTCTACTCTTCAACCTAGCAATTTCTACACAGAGTCTTCAGAAAAACAGTCATTTGTACCCAAGAGAATATGGACAAGAGTATGATTGCAGCATTGTTTGCAGCAGTGACAAACTTGAAAACAGTACAGTTCACCAATAAGGGAGTGAATAAATAAATTGGAAGTTTTATACACAGGATATTATAGAGCAATGCTAATGAATGAGCTAGACTTTTAGGTATAAGCCTGGGTAAACCTTGAAAGAAAGCATGCCAAGCAAATTGCAGAAGGACATGTATGGGATGACATTATTTTATACAGTTTAAGAGCTAGCACCATACTCTGCATCTTTAGGCCTGGTATCAATATACGTAGTCAAGGTGCAAGGTGATGCATGGGAAGGCTCCACACCTGATTCAAGATGGTGGTTACTTCTGGAGAACCTGGTTTTGGGATGACACTAAGATCAGGAAGCAGTATGGATGGTGCTCCAGATATATTGGTAAAATTTGATTTCTTGAGCTGGGTGATGGATATATGGGTCTGTGTTCAATTGTGGTCCATTTCTTTGTGCATGTGTGAAAATTTTTAGTATGAAAAATAAGTCAATTAAATAAGAAAGTAAAACGTGGGTATCACTGCTCCCAGTGCAGAGGAGGTGAGCCCCCGGGGCACCAGCAGCACTGCTCCCACCCCCACAGTCATAAACAAGTCTCAAAACCAGACTTACAGATCACCTACAGCAACCCCAAACAGAAAAGATATGGAACACTCTGATACTTACTCAACCACCCAGACTCCCTGATTTGGCAACAAAACAGGATCTGGAAAAAGTGAAACCAGAAATAATTTCTCAGATAACAACAGAGATTGTGCTCATAGTGCAAGACATGATTAATAAATCTAGAGAGGAGCTGAGGAACATGATGGAATACCAACATAGGAAATAAATGAAATCCATAAAACAGATGCAAACAGATTTCCAGGAGATGAAAAACTCCATTGAAAGTCTACACAGCAGAATAAGGCAATGTAGGATAGAATTTCAGATATAGAAGATAAGATTGCAATTAGTGACCAGG